TTACCTCATTACTATTTCACTTCCATACACTAATTCCTATTGATTGTTGTTCGTTCTTCTTTTTTTAATATACTCACCCTTCATTTCTTAACAACCTCACTGTTATTGCGTGGCGCATATGTATTGTAGTATTCCTTTGTACCAACGTTTATGTGTCCAAATAATTATGTAAAAAAAAACTGGGCTTTGAACTAGTTTGTCAGAGGCCGTGATATTACTTCGTAACTGTATAAACCGAAGTGGGGCATAATTTAGATGAGTATTTCAACCATTAAATCTGTATTATTGTTTAGGTTTTTTAAATCTCCAAAAGCCGTTCATTATTTTTAAAATGGATTTTCTCTGTATACTTGTCTAGTTGCACAATAGGAAACATCCTCCTTTTTTCCGCGGATAGAAATGCTTTTTTCTGTTACTGTCGTTACTTTCTAATATGACTTTTTACTTTAGTTTCACGAGTTTTCTAAACATGTAAGTAGTTATCACTTGTGTAAACCACCCTTTTTTGGTTTATTTGATGTTTTTTTATTAGTTAAGGGCAGAATGAAGATAAGTAGTTGTATATGACCAGTAATCGAAGGCGTCCTTGGGATAACCGAAACTTTAATCCTTTATTATTTTTAATTGATTTTAATTTTTTTTCCTTTTTTAACAGATGAGGTTTACCTTACAAATCCAAACGAACTAGTCCCTGTCCAATATGTCTTAGATCAATTATCTAAGAAACCTGAAATCCGTATTTCTAAAGCACAAATTTCCAATTTATGGACAAAGCATTATTTACATTCAAAATTATGCCCTGATAGAGATCAAACTATAGAAGATAAGCAACATATTTTTTGTAAATCAACATTTTTCACTGGTGAAAGTCTTACTTTACTTGCGAGACACCCGGATCCTAGATGGGCTTCTATGAATATAATGGGTAGGTAAAAGTAGACATTTATGCTCGTGATACATTAGTGCTTAATCTTTTCTAAATGTTATATTTTGCCGAATAAATCATAGTTCTAAAAAAGGTTACTGGTAATTTTGAATAAATAATCAACTAAAAACGTGAAGTAGTCATGTTATTTCAAGGATAAATCTAATTTTAAATGTCAATATCAAAAAATCCCCATAAATCCCGTTCTCACACAGTCATTTAGTTGTAGTTGTAGTAATATGAAGTCATTTATTTCGATGTCGAATCCAATTGTACTTCACTGAAATCACGAACCGATCTAAGTTAGACGACCATTGAAAACTTTGGAACACTAAACGACTGTTTCTCCACAGTACGCGACTAAGTGGCACGCATCTACGACGCGGTTTCGATTCCCAGTTGCGAGATCATCGATAGGGATTAGCGGAAAGTTGCACACTAGGACGAAATGTCGGTCCAGTGCCTCCAGGTTTTAAATATCGTCTAATTGCTCGGTTCATTATTTTAATTAAACTCAACTCATTCGAAAGACATCTAATCACATCGACAACTGGATAAATTAGAAACATGAAATAGTGTTTTTAGATATTTTAACTATGTGTGCTCTGTTTTTCTGTGATCAAGTCACCGTTCCATCTAAACGTTTAACAGTGATAAAATAAAAGTATGACTCATTATTCGTTGATAAATTTCGATCTAAGTTGTTTTTTTCTTTTTATCATGGTTGGGTCAGCCACTGATGTCGAAATAAACATAGAATTTAGGATAAATGCATATCAGTTCAAGTTGCCACACCATATCAACAAACCATGATAAAATTATCAATATGAATATCAAAGTAGGAAAAAAGTTGTAATATCAGTAACAGTATAAATGAAGTGGTTCGGGAAAAAGCGGTATATTCGCAAAATAGTGTATGAAATAATTTTGAAACTCGAAACCTAATAGAGGACAAATAATGAGTGTAACTGTGCCATTGTGATCGATTCTGAGCCATGTCACTCAAATTCAACAATTGATCACAATAACCGCACAGATCCCGGCCAAATAGATGGCACCTACTTAGATAAACAGCTCACTCTAGTAGTCTGTGACTTCACGAATATTTATTTTACATCTTGATTTGGCTTTTAATAGCTTTATTTTAGCTTAATCCTATACCAGCAAGCATCTCGTATCGAAGTAAGCGATGGTTGGGGATACTTACATATTTCTTAACCACCGTCGACTAAGATTCAGAATCTCATCAACCGATTTGCTGTTTTCCAAAAACCGCACGTCTAACTTCAGAATTGTTGCAGTTGCATGTACAACTGTAATGTACAATACAAATTCCCTGGTATATTTACTGACTCATGCTCAAATAGGTACAACTGATCATTGATAAACACTATGGTCTTAAATAACTACTTCGAAAGATGCGATGAGTGACATTCGTTATATTAAGTCAGTTTGTGGTACTATTCCTACCCTGTCCGATTGTCACTGGCAGAAACTTGTCGTTGCAGTGAGCCCCACTAACCTCCAAAGAGAATTAGAAATTACTCTTTCAAGCTAACTCACCTTCTTCTCCTTGAATAAAAATTCTCGACAACCCACTTTGGAATTGGTTATCAATCTTGTCATAAGTTGTGTTAAGGAATAAGTAGTATACAGTATCGCAAACCGAAGGAATTTCGAAAGTGTCAACTGTTTGTTTGAGTTCTAATGCTGCTTTTTTTACAGTAAAATGGTAACTTTGTTACGAGGTGTAAATATACAGCTGTGTCAAAATACACTGCGTAGTATATCATCATATACAAAGTTGAAACCAAGGCAAAATTTAACGTTTATGGTAACTGAGCGATTTCTAACTGACAGATTCTTGCAGAAAGTCAATGTGCTTATTCGCCAATTTCCCTTTGTGCTAAGTAATTGTCTTCTTTATGTAGTACCAAGGCTTTAAATTGTACTATTTTTTCCATCTTTTCATTTAGGACAAGTATTGTGTGCTTTGCGCAGTTTGGAGCGTTGGGCTGATACTCTAGAGTTATCAACCGTCGTATCGTTAGATTGTGTAAACCATCAATCCACGTTATTTCCTGATACAACTCCATCTATCAGTTGTAGTCGTACAAACTCTACAGAGGTGGGACAATTTTCCAATTCTCCAGCTATTATCATTCCATCAGCTCAATTGCCTGGAATAAGTCTTTTTGTCGAAAAATCCAATTGGGAACTAGTTCGTACATTATTACAAACTAAAGCGTAGAATAAATGTCGCAAACATTATGATTCCATTTGATTTAGTGAAAATTGCCATGCATTTCATTTAGAGTTCATCAATTCCTGCTTGTGATCATTATAAACCTCTCGTAAACATACGCTAGCTTGTACATATAAATCTTCCTTTGTCAACATTTTGACTGCAGTCAATCAATGCTGATCACTGGTTTATTATTAACTGCTTTCAATATATTTTAAATATTTTTCCACTTTTTATTTTAGATAATCTTGCAGGGTCATTCTGTACCTTTAAAGCTACAACTGGAAATTGATATATATATATATATATATATATATATATATATATCAATGGTCTTATTTATTACAGCTGTTTGGTAATTTTGTTTTTGCGATTAAATAAAATAATCGTTTAAATTTTATGCGAACCATACTCTTTTGTATATCAATCAGTCAGTAACAAAGAACTTCGTACGTATATAATATGCAGTAGTCTATCTTCTCCACTAACTGATGTATTGCCATGTTTTCGAACTAAATTTTAAGTCTCTGGAAGGTTTGAATAAGTAATAAAAATATAAGCAAACGTACATTTATACTGATATGAATGATTTATCCAAGTCTACGGAAATTTTAAACTTTCTAAATGAAATTTTAAAATATCAACATGTATATCCACCTACTGTCTTAAGGGAAAACAACCTTATACAACGGTCTGTCAGTTTGAATTGTCGTATTTCAAGACAGCACAGGAAATTGGTCACAATGACTTCACTAAAAGTTGTTTCGAAGGACAATAACAACGAGCACATAAACAGATAGCCATTACTATACAGGGGATTTGTGGAGACTGTTGAATTTGATAGTTAACATCAGACTGGTCTTGGCTTAACTATCGCAAACCAGAAGGTAATGGATAGGTGTTTCGACATTAGATGCGTAAACCATTGGATCCGGTTCAGTGGTCTAAATGTTAAGGGCCTGCCGCGAAACCCGAAGGTCCTGCGCTCGACCTTCGGCGAAGTCTGTGTTGAGGAGTTCAATACTAGGACGAAACAACTCTCCGGTGCTTCCTAGCTTTCGATAGCTGTTTGATTAAAGTCAATCTGATGTTAGCTGTAAGGTAACTACTACTTACTGAGGTTTTATGGATGGGTGTTTTTGAAACACTTCAAAATATTCTTTAGTCAAAAAAATGGTTTTCTACATAACCATTCTACGAAAATCTTCTCAGTTTACTTTGCCAAATAGGTGTTTTATCGCTGACAATGTACTGCTTATATATCAGCTACACTGCCCTTGCCATATTTATGAAAATATTGGTAGGTGGACGCAATGCTAATTAAATACAGGCCAAAACAAGTCTCTCAAACAGCAATTTCGTTAAGTGGGTTCGCCACAAAAAAATCACTTACTAGTGTGATAGAATTATGCGTTTTAACAAGCTACATGGTAAACGAAGACGCAAAAAAATAATTGTGATTGCATTTTCGGGAGATTTATTGGGCGCCCTGGCAGGATTCTAGCCCCCACATAAATCAAATGATTTGTGTGGTGCATATATATTTGATGCCTCCTTGTACCAACGTTCATGTATTTAAATAATAATGGTCTTATGACTAATATTCAGGATAAAACCTACTATTGTTTCCATACTCTGAGAGAAAATATTATAGTTTGTTTAGGATATCGTAATCCCTAGGAAAATCCATCAGCACGCTATCCCTCAATGAGAAAACTTTGCTCAGTTATGGCAAAACAATGCATCCACTAAAACTTTATGAACTTTGAAAACACTTCATGTATTTTACTAGCAAAAAAACAAACATACATTTTACATATCAAGGAGATGGTCGTATTTACGAAACATGAAAGAAGTCGATTGTCATCTAAAGCATATTTTGCACTGCCTGCTGTTGTACAGTGAAATGCCCGTCGTCTTCTGTACAGCGCATAATAAACCCATATAAATATTAGGTGTCTGCATTAGGCATTTGCTTCTTCACAAGCATCGATCCAATCATTGTAGACATCAATCTCTTGGCTAAGATAATTTATTTTAGTCTGGAAGTCTTCTAAACATATTGTACACTTAATGTAACCAATATTGTTATCCCGTTGCCTGAAAAACGTAAAACTATGACACTTATTAGGGGAAAAACTTACAAGATAACTTCACAAGATCGACCATGATTGCAGAAAGGACAATTAAACACTTTGTCAAGTGGGACAATAGCTTTCCGCCTTGGTGGAGGCTTGTTACTACTTCGGCGACGACCCATATAAAAGTTTGGAACAGTAAACTATTTTAGAGTGTGAACTAAAAGATTTAAGCGGAAAAACTGAATTTAGTAGAATTTTGGAATAGTTCGCGAAAAATCTCCAAAAATGAAATATCATAGAAACAATAACCACACAGGTTAAACAAATAGACTTCAACAATACTAGATAAGACAACCGTGGTGAAGAAACAGGAGATATTATAGGAAATTCTCTTAACGGTTGAGGTTGGGGGTAGTCAACAGGAAATTTTGAAACTAGGTTTTGTTGGGAAGGTGTACCTGTAACCCTGAGGGCATTATTAATGCTCCCTAGCAAAACTGATCTCATGTGACACACTATAATCAGAGACGGTACCGCTTATCTATTTGGGGTTCTTCCGACCTCCTCTAGGACATAATTACAACTGAGTAGTAACCAATGTCGAGTCGCTAAGACTAGTGGCCACATTCCAACTTGATCTATAAATATTCGATCAGGACTAAGATGGATTTGACACTGGTCACTACTCAGTGATCAATTAGCTGTAAATCGTCTTAGTCATAGTCAGAAATCAGTAAATATATCAATGTTTCAAAACCTGATGGTGACTGGGAGTGTGCTCAATCCATTTTAGATTTAATTTGAAGGGCAGTTCATATTTCATGATTTACTATTCTTGAAGTCAGATTAACCCCAAATGCATTTTTGCGGCGGGGGTGTTGTTTACGAAATTGAGAAGACGCACGGCGCTTCAACCGTGTTTGTGGGTTCGCGTGACCCACCTATGGGGCTGTAAAACCCTGATTCCAAACCAATGGTGCACATGGTCTACAGGATCCTAAGGGATTAAATGGCGTATGAACCAATCGTTGGTCACCGGCTAACATTGGACCGCATCCCCTAGCGTCGCTTCAGTGCCACGCGGATTGGATCTCTAGGTCGAAGGCTCGGGGAGTGGCCCCCCAAGGAAATCACCCGCTTCAGTCTGGGCACCCGGTCAGTGTCCCAGCCCTTACACAAATCGAATGGTGGAGTGTGGCAAATATATATTCGGTGCCCCTCTTGTACTAATATTTGTGTTTAAATAAAATAAAAATCATACATTTAATAAATATTGGTCTTAGATATTCGAAAACCAAACTAATCAAGTTGGTTTTTTTCTAATTATTACACCGGAATTTCTGCCGTTTTAAAAACTTCAGTGACTAGCAACCGAGAACAGTAAAATTGGACACTCGAACGAAGGCATAAGAGAGCGTACAAAAGTTAGCGGGTCCCATAGGTAAATCAATAATTTTGGACTGTGAATAGTTAAGACCTTCGTAATTAACTCATTAAGTTTTGCTGTTCGTCTTTGTCTAAAGTTGGCTAGAAATGCCAAGATCAAAGGAATAACCTTAAGGTTTTGAAGCATTTATGTCATGAATATTTCACACCGACTGTTATTAGGAACTAAAGGATAGTTGCAACCCACATTACTAACACATACTACCACTTTCGCAAGCAGTCATATCGGTCTCTTTTCCACAATCTATATTTGAAATGCTTTATGAGCAGCTTTGCTCACCGTAATAAAAGTTAATCAAAGAATGGATCCAGGTCCGATATGGGGATCGACATTATGAATTTACTACACTCAAAGGTGTGCTAACTGATTAGAAAAACAAGTTTTTTTTTAAAGTCAGTTTTTATTGTCATTTTGCAGACAACGAACGAATTAGTAAGGTAGTGGAATAATAATAATAATAGTAATAATGGGGAAAACGAAAAGGTACAATGAGAAAAAATCTTCCAGTCAGGGAAGAAACAACCTTTATTTTATGAAGAATATAAAGGAAGGTTACAGCAGGATCCCCACTCGCTTCTATTCTGAGCCATATCTGATAACGTCTCAAGCCACTGTGTTACATCATCTTGCGGACCCCAACCAGGGAGTCGTGAAGGACCGACACAAGCCAGCTCATTGCAGCTTTCTTTCATACCACGACACCATGTCATGCACTGACCACCTCTCCGCTTCTTCCAACCAGTCCCAGAGTCGGCAAATAATGCACGACGTGGAATTCTCTGGGACGACATTCGTAGAACATGTCCAACCCACCGAAGTCGGTGTTTCAAGATGGTGACACCAATTGCATTATCGTCTCTGTACCCGAACACACGATGCCGAACCTCTGCATTACTAACATCATGTTGCCACTGGATGTCAGCAATCGTTCGGAGACAACGATGATCGAACACAGAGAGTCGTCTAACGTCCTCAACTCGGAGAGGGCAGGTTTCACAAGCATAGAGCAAGACTGCTCTCACAGACGCGTTGTAGATTCGACCTTTTACAGCCAGACTAACACCACGAAGGCGCCAAAGGTGGCCCAGACTGGCATAAGCCGCTCTGGCTCTCACTATACGTGCATTGATCTCATCACTCACGCCCCCACCAGCACTTATGCAACTACCCAGATACACGAACTTCTCGACTACTTCTATCTGCTCACCATCCAGGGTGAGTACAGGATTAGAATCCTGCCAGTCTTGTAGAAGTACTTTGCACTTCGAAGGTGCGAAGCACATACCATACCTACGGACACTGATTGCCAACTGATTAAGTGCGGATTGCATGCCTTGGGCATTATCGCACAGTAAGACAATATCGTCCGCATACTCAAGGTCGAGAAATCTTTCTCCAAGCAACAGATCTACGCCGTCATTACTTACATCCATCAGAACTGTTTCCAGAATGTTATCGATGGCAAAGTTGAAGAGGAATGGTGAGATTGGGCAACCCTGCCTAACCCCACTACTCGAATGGAACAATGGAGAGAGGTGGTTGTATGCCCTCACTCTGTCTGAGGTGTTTGTATATAGGGCTTTTAGGATGTTAATAAACTTCTCAGGCACACCCTTCTTCAATAGACAATCCCAGAGAACAGTCCTATCCAACGAATCGAAGGCAGCCCTGATGTCAAGAAACACTACGATTGTTGGCCTGTGATAAGTATGGCGGTGTTCTAACATTTGGTGGAGGGTGAAGATATGATCAATACACCCTCGACCAGAACGAAAACCAGCCTGCTCCTCGCGAGTCAATCTTTCTCGGGTTTTGAACAACCTACGAAGTATGACGGAAGCCAATAGCTTGGACGCAATCGGAAGTAGACTTATCCCCCGATAGATGTTACAGGAACGACGTGAACCCTTTGTAAAGATAGGGACAACTATCGACTCATTCCATGACGTTGGTACACTCTCTAGTTCCCAAACCTTTGTAAACAAAGTCGTCAATTCCTTAGTCAGAAAGTCACCACCATCTTTAAAAAGAGCCGGAGGTAAGTCATCTGGGCCAGGTGATTTGTAGCGTTTCAAGAGTTGGAGTTCCTTGCGGACTTCCTCCTCATTTGGTGGATCAGTCGTCACCGGCCATGGAGGACAGGACAGTCTGACCGATGTTGCCGGAGCAGCAGGCCAGTTGAACTGCCCTTCGGAGAATTCTGCCCATCGTCCAAGACGTCGATGGATGTTAGTGATTGGCATCCCGTCATCCTCACAGATTGTTTCGTTCACACCGGACTTCTTGCTGCCAGTGGCTCGGATGAGTTGGATGAGTTTCCGGTAATTACCAGATGCAGCTGTTGCTTCCAACTCATTAGCACGCACCGACCACCAGGCTTCTCGGTCCTTACGCAAGCTTTTCCCAATTTCCTTACGTAACATCCTTCGTTTGTGGCCAAACTCACGGTCACCCGGAGTAGACCGACGGGCTTCAATGAGTTGTAAGGAACCAGAAGAAACCAAGTGCTTAAAAGCGGGACGTTTCGCGAACCCACAAATGACTGTTCCCGCCATTTTCATGGCGTCATGCAATTGCAACCAATGTTCATCTATACTTCTCGGTGGAGTGGTAGCTAGCCTAGAGGCTAGCTCGGTTCGATACTTACTTGCAACAGAAGTTGCAACCAGCTTGCTAACATCAATCCGTTGGTGGCGGTCACTTCGTTGTCCACTGAAAAGTAAGGTAAGATTGGCGCAGACCAGGGCATGATCAGAGTTCAGATAGGTACTCCAAAAGGAGCGGCAGTTTTGTACACAACCACGCCAGCGGTAGCTGATCGCGATAAGCACAGATCTAGAAACATAAATCAAATATACTCAGCAGATTTAGTTTTTTTGCTGACTGGCTAGGCTTTCTGCAAGATTGTGCACCTTAAGTTGACATCGATCTTTCCTAAATATACATCAGATTAGTAGTGAACTAAGGACTTCATAATTAAAGGATGAAGGGAAGAACAAATGTATTTCTAACCCTGCAGATGTGCTGGAAGATAGTTTTAAAAATTCAAATAGGCTTTTGCAAATTTGGGCTACCTGTGGATTAGGCGAAATATTAGTATGGCTATCAAATAGAGAACATACTTCATAGCCTACTTCCCGATACTCTGCAGTCACGGGACGGCTTTTTAATGTAGACCTTTGCACGTTACTAGTATCTGACTATAGATAACTTGGAAGTACTATTTAGTAATGATGGAACTACCAAAGATTTGGAGCATAGTAAAAAGGTGAATAAATGAAAACGTTGCGAAACCACATTGACTGGTATGGTTAGGATAGATTTTGAGCGTGACAAACTACCAATAAATTCAAAGTGAGATGTTGATGACAGTTGTTTTCGGGGATATCCATAGATGGGGTCTGTTTAATTGTGGCCTGTCCACAGTTGAAGACAATGGGTGATACGGTTCAAAATAGGCTGAGGTGGTACACTACCTTGCTCTCAATTGAACTTCATTTCCAACACTCCATCCTGCCATCTCATTTGTTCATCGTAAATTGTATCTATATTAAGATATCCATTGTAGCTGGAACCGTTTCCACACTTTTACTTCTTATTTCACTTATTTCTTTACTTTCGCTGTTGACATGAGATGTGGTAACTTAGACCTAAGGACATTTCCCCCAAGTTTTACGCTAATAAGGAAAAAATTCGGACTAGCGAGTGAGATAATTTCCATTGGTTTTGAAA